TGTGGTTTGGGATAACAGGTTTTACTTTAGAACTTCAGCTGACTCCAGACAGGCACCTGCTCTGCTGTCACAGCTCAAGTGACAAGCAGGAACCCAGAGGAACGCTAGGATGTTGCAAAAGCTCCTTTAACCACCTGGCCATCACACATTCAAAATGGTAATGTTTGCTGAAATGTAGCAGACATCAGCTGTTCTTCAGACTCAACAATTTAATGTGATCCAAACACATTGCTGTTATCACAAGCATCCTGTTTTCATGGCTTCTCACTCATTTTTTAACAAATCTAATAATGACCATATCAAAATGCAGAGACATTGCTTATTTCAAACATTGCCTCCATTGGGAAAAACAAAACTGCAGTCCCTGATTTGTGACATGGAGGAGACAGGCAGCTCTAGCAGCCACATGTGATGAAGGTGGGAGAGAGGCTCAAGAAAATCACGACATTCAGAAATTACAAGCAGAAAGATGCAAAAGAGTGGAAGGATTGGGTTGGTGTTTTTTTGAGTTGCAAATTTGAAAAACTGCTGAAGCAGTAAGAGAATACAGAAAAAAAAAGTAATATTTTCATAATTTATTCTCCAATTCACCAGTGACTAAAATTATAAATATGAGCATTATTCATAATTGCTACAGAGAATCCGAGTAAGACACAAGTTTCTTTCTCCTCCACTATTCTGTCTTTCATAGTTGCTTAGAATGTAGCACACTTATTGCCACAACTTGAGATAAAGTGTAATGTGTATGTAGACACAAGCTTTATCTTCTTTTCTCTGAAGTATAACAATAGTTAGGTCAAGGAAATGCTACTCTAGAAGGGTTTTTTTAATGCCTCTCTCTATTCATGTATACGTATGTGTGTATATATAGACACAGACATTATTTGTGTATGTGTATATATTTTATTTATATAAGGTTTAGTAGAAAGCTCCAAACACTTACCAATCCAGTTTCCCAGATCTGGAATTTGATCTGACTAGTAACAACCTGTCAGCTTTAAATATTGGACTATTTGTCTCCCTGTGTCCAGTGCCTAAGATCTTGTTAATTACCTACACTCCCTTTCTGTAGGTCCTGTTAATTACCCGTCTCCTGTCTCAGAGGACCTTGTTAATAACTTGTACAATCTCTCTAAAAAGGTCCTAATAACACATTAAAATTAAAGATGCTTTTCTTTTAGCACTTGTCAAGTGGTGTAAATTGAGAAATTTTCACATCAGTTTATTAGCCTGTAGTGTAGTGTCATGTATTTTCCTAAACAAAAACAATTTCAGAAAAACGATGCACAAGCTTTGGTTATGGCACAAAACAATCTTTGTTTTCCAGGAGCACCCTCAGTTTCTTTAACTGTGCTCAACACAAAAGCCACGTGGCTTCTGACTGCAAATTAAGCTCCTGAGAGCCGTGACAATAGCAGTAATTGTAAGAATGAGTGTAATTTAAGGTAATATTAGGTAAAAGTTTCAAAACAGTGCATTAGGAGGTACAAAACCAAAAGTATTATTGGTAAATCTGGCTAAGAGCACTACACATGGTTTCCTTAAAAATTCTTCATTAGCTGTATGATGAAAAACCTCTGGAACGAACAGATTTTGTAGTATTTGCAAAACTAGCATCTTTTATTTCACTATGAGACTTCTGCATTTTTAAGTTTTCACAGAATCAGCTCATAAATATCTCTACTATGCCTACAACAGACAATGGAACCCCCAGTCTTAACACTTATGTAACACTGCAATATCATATCTATAAAAACATTTTAAAAATACTCATTTATCCACTCAGCATTTGCAGGAGATAAAGTATCATCCCTATTTTACAGATTTAGCCAAAGCCAGGGAACAAACCTTTGCCAGATCAGAGATTAACAGAAATTAGGGGTGCATATTTTGTGATTTCCTGTCAATAAGTATTATATGCAAAACAAATTGGTTTTGTTTTGCTTTTCCAAAATACTTCTAAAACCTTATTGAAACAACAATAATAAATATTAGCAATAAAAATAAATAATAATTTTCAAATAATCCTGGCATACTTGCTTTTGGAAAAAGAAATCCTACAAGCATTGCTGAACCACTTCTATAATTTTTGGATCAGCAGCTGTGCAACACGTGGAAGATGCACTTATTTTCATTCAATTAATTAGTAAGTAAGTGTAATTAGTGACAGAGCATGCAGACAGCCAGCTAAGCACTCAAGGATGGGCTATTCAGCACTCACCCAGCTGATGTTATGAGCTGCTGTTCTCCACATTGTTACTGCTCAGTCAACATTACCAACCACAATTAATGAGGATGGACTGAAGCCCGACCCAAAGTTCACCAAAGTCACTGAAAAGCCTCCCACTAAGGTTACAGATGTGGCTTCATCAGCACTGAGAACGTGACACTCACACTACAAACATGAAGGAGCTGGGTTTGGTTGATTTTTTTTGCGGGCTGGGAAAGAGGGTTGCTATGGGTTGGTTTTTTTCCCTTCCACTTTGCTCTGTGTCCAGCCTGGTCCCACAGACTGGATGTTTTATGGCTACAGTGTGCTCCTGGAACACATCCTCCAGTGGGATTTCATTAGACAGGAATCCAGCTCAGGATGTTCCATCACCCAAACCAAGGCTTAGCTAAGTGGGGTTAAGTGGGAGATTCACCTGCAAAGCAAACACCTGTTCCACAACAGAACACTGATTTTGGACACACCTTAATAAAAAATACACTGCCTGGTCTACTAGCAGAAATGGGATTCATCCAAAAGAGCTAAACAGCATGCTGAATAAATAAGACACAACCCAAAGACTAAATTCCCTGTCCACGCTCCCTGCATACTGAATTTGCTACCCAGCCTCATTTATTTTGTGCCCACATATTCATAGAAATTCTTTCTTCAGCATTATTGGTTCAAAAAATTAAAAATGGATTCCATTTGAGAAATCCTCTACAGATAAAAGGTAAACTGTAAACTTATTAAATATGCACATTTTGTATTAGTTTCTACTTCAAAAGAAAATAATTGTATAAGATACATTTGAAAGTAAACTAAATCTAAAAGGTTTGCACATAACATCATAATGGAACATATAAAAATCAAGAGCTTCTAACTTAACTTACTGCATGCTAGCTATTATGCCATAATAGCTGTCTCACAAAAAAGGTCAGAATGTTTATTATTTTTGGCTTTTTGAAAATAAAATAGTATCTATTTGTCTTATCAAAAGTTTATGTTTACATAAAAGTCAAGAACTAGTAAAAGGGACTCTCATACAAAGACAGAAACAAATGACTAGAGTCCTTCTGAATGGGCACTGTGATGAGTTTTTAATTACAAAACAAAGAAAAAAAGTCCATCATGATTACCATTAAGTTTTATATTTATCAAGATTTGCTGCCTTCAAGAACTTCAAAAGATTTCACTATTTATATCTAGCATCTGCCTGAATACAGTGTTTCATTTAAAAAAATTAAATGCTATGCAATTTTAATTGTTATTTGAATTATTTCTCTTTAAAGCAGCTTATTTAAAGGGAAGTTTAACTTCTGACAAACCAAGCTACAACCTAACCTTATGCTAATCCAGAGAAATAATTCATTAAATAAAAAATATTCTAAGATTGTCTATAAACATGCTATTTAAGACACTAGGAACTGATTGGACCCATTGAAGACACTAAAAAGATAATTTGTTGATGTAGGATGAGCTTCTAGCAACAAATTCCATTTCAGTTCATTTCCCTAATTCACATCCATTATTAGTTTTGTTAAGAAAATGATTCTAAGTTTAAATCAGGAGTGTATGCATTCTAACCCTTGAGAAAAACTGAGCTGGGACACAATAAGATCCCTCTGTTTAAGAGAACAAGATAACAAAAAAGATTTTTTTTTAAAAGAAATGCTTCTTGTGTCATTAATTAAGGAATTATTACACAGCAAAAGGTGAATTTTTAGAACCATGTTTTCCATTTAAAACAGTGATTGATTTTACAGCCTTTAGATTCAAGTTAGAAGCATTTTAATTTCAAATGCATTTTCTACCAAATTGAAGTCATTACATAGAAATGAATCATTACCTTGAAAAAGCAAGGACTGCTAATTTCTGGCATTTATATATTAAAAAAAGGAATGAAAGTTAATTAACTTCTTAAACATTTATCTATTGTGAACAGTATATGTGGGTGGCAGTGTATATAAATATATATATATAAATATATTTAT